CTAACAACTGTCCATAACTCCAGTTCCAAGGGATCCAACAACCTCTTCTGTCCTCCGCAGGCATTGCACAACATAGGTGTGCTTACTACATGCAGGCAATACACACATACATAAAATAAAAATAGTAAATAAAATACTTTTTTTAAAAAGAAGAAATAGAATTATGCTGGGTGTGATGGCACACACCGTTGGTTCCAGCACTTGAAAGACAGGTGGATCTCTGTGAGTTCAAGGCCAACCTGGTCTATAGCTTCTCAAAAAGAGCCCCCCCCAAAAAAAATAAATAAAGTAGAATTAAGAGCTTGGCAAGGTACTTGTGGCAAGGTTTATTTAGCACACACCAGGTCCTGGGTTTGATTTCCTAGAAACACACGCACACACACACACACACACACACACACACACACACACACAAATAATAATTGAGTGAGGGTGCTGGAGAAATAGCTCAGAAGTTAAGAGCACTGGCTGCTCTTGCAGAGGACTGGGGTTTGGTTCCCAGTACCCACATGGCATCTAACGATCCCCTGTAACTCCAGTTCCAGGGGATCTGATGCCCTCTTCTGAACTCCATGGGCATTGCATGCACATTGTACACTTACATATATGCAGGCAAACCACTCATATACATAAAAAATGAATAATATTTAATTTTAAAAATTGAGTGAAACTACAGTCAAACTATTTAGGAGGCTATAGCCATTGCTTAGCTCCAAAGGGTGCTGTCCTGACATAGGGCAGAAAGATAGTAAGAAAAAGTTTTTTTAAAAAGTACAATAGATTTGAGGTGTAGAGTGGAGACTATTTTGACTGAATATAGTGGTAAGGTTAGGGAGAATTCAGTATGAGAATGAAATACTCACAGTCAGGCATGTGGGTTTTGGAATTCACTTCCTAGGATTTGAAGCCCAACTCAGCTAAGGGACATTGGACAAGTCAGTTCACATCTGTGTTTCAGTTTCCTCATTTGTAAAGTGTGAATGATGTTATTTCCTTTCATCAAAGTCCTTAGAACTTTGCAACATTTCAAAGAATGTTGGTTATTATTATAGTGATTCCTGTTGCTATCAACACCATCATTATTATCATTAACACCAACTGTCATGATCATTAATACCAATCCAAGGCCCTTACTTCAGTGACCAGCTAGGAAGAGATAAAATTATAGAACGAAGGCTGTGCAAGTGTGAAGACCCGAGTTCAGATCCCCAGCAACCACCTAAAAAACCAGCATGGATATGCATGCCTGTAATTCCAGCACGGAGAGGCAGAGAGAGCAAAAGGATCCCTGGGGCCTGCTGGCCAGCCAGTTTAGCCAATCAGAGAGTTCCAGGTTCAGTGACAGATCCTGTCTCAAAAAATAAGGCAGAAGGTAATAGACACTGGACCTCAACCTCTGGCCTCTACATGTACACACACAGGTGTGTACATACACACATATATTCCACATGACTGATAGAGAAGAAAAAATAATCTAGGAAGAATTCACAGACTTGATTGTTGTGGCTAACATTAACAGATTACATCAGGAAGGAAAGAAGGAACAATGAGAAAGAAATGAAGGAAGACAGAGTGAAAGTACCTGGCAACTTAATCAAATACTATGTTTGCAGGAATGTATATGAATATATATATTGAGAGAGAGATCGACTTACTATGTGGCCCAGGCTAGTCTTGAGCTTGAAATTCTCCTGCTTCTGCCTCCCCAGTGATGTGTTTACAGATGTGCACCATGATACTCAAACTGAATAGCTATATTTAAAGATAAACACCTTTCTTCTATAAATTGTTTTCAATAGGTATGTGAAATTATATTACATATAATAGATTGTGTGTATATTAGCAATATACCAAAGCAAAGCTCCCTTGAGCAAACACAGCTTCATCCCTGCCCCACGGTCCTTTCTCTGCTTCTACAGATATATGCATTGCTCCAGGGAACACCTAACTTGGAGGTTGTGATTGAAACACAGCTTTATTATTACTGTCTTCCATTACCTCCTTGACAGTTATCCAGGTGCTATCTTAGTCCACTGAGGCTGCTATAACAAATACCTCAGACTGAAGAATTATAAATAACATGAATTCATTGCTCATAGTTCCGGAATCTGGAAAGTACGAGGTCAAAACACCAATAGATTTAGGGTTTGATAAGGACTGATTCTTCAGAGATGCCTGCCTTCTGTATGTCCTCATATTGGGAAGGGCAAACATGTATCCTCCATCAAGTCTCTCCATCTCTCTCCTGGGTCTCACCAAGCTGGCCTTTTACTCAAGACCCTCCTGCCTCCGTCTCCCTAGTCTTGAGATTATAGACATGTGCCACCATAAGAGCTTTCAAGTCCCTTATATTAATCTCAAATTATTAACATAAGAGTACCAATCTCAGTCATAAAGGCAGAGCCCTTGTGACATTCACCTTCTACACGCCCCACCTCTCAAGATGGTGCTGTAGTTTCCTTTACTGCTGCTGTGATAAAAACACTGACCAAAAGCAACTTGAGGAGGAAAGGGTTTATTTCCTCTCACACTCCCAAGTCACAGTCTATCACTGACAGAAGTCATGGCAGGAACCTGAAGACAGGACTGCTTGCTATTCCATGTAGTATTCCCCCCAACCAGGGAACTCACTGACAGCCAAGTTCAGCAGGAATCATGGAAGATGCTGCCCACTGGCTCATGCTCAGCTAGCTTTCTTATACAGCCCAAAACCACCTGCCTAGGAAATGGTGTTGCCCATGGTGGGCTAGTCAGCCCAACATCAATTAACAATCAAGACAGTCCCCCACAGACATGCCCACAGGCCAATCTGATCTAGGAAATTCCTCCCTTAAAGCTTCTCCTCTCAGATGACTCTAGGCTGTTTCAAGTTGACCATTAACACTAACCAGGACAGATAGAAACAAATTCTAGAGGGATGAAAATGTTCATATCGTGGGAGGAAAAATAACCTCATTCCAGCCCTAGAGGGTAATTCTAGTAGACCCAAGATTTTTTTTTCAGAAATTTAAATGTCAATCTAACACTGGAACCTACTTCATTTACAATTGCATCATTTCCTCTTGTTCATCTGCTACCTGCTTGCCATTTGCCTTTCTTCCTGGCCCCCACTGAGGGTAGGAGGTAGCTTCTGCCCCCTGGAGCAGATACTGGAGAGGGTAATTGGAGAAAAGAAAGTATAAGGAAAGGCCTTGAACAGTTCCTCTGATGATCTGGTAGAAACCAGGTCTGACAGTGAGCTACTCAGTGAGACTTTGCAAGGCCACCCCCGGTTTTTCAATACTACAACAAACATTTGAAGTAATCAATTTACAAAGAGAGAAAAAAAACCTGCTCATAATTTTAGAAGTTTCTGCCCATAATCCGTTTGCCTCATTGCTTAAGGAGAAACACCACATCAGGACAGGAGCACACAATACAGTCTCTGGAGAGACTATTCACCCCCAAAAGAGAAAGAGAAAGGAAGAACAGGATCCCATTATCCCTTTGAGGGCAGCACCCCAATGGCCTCAAGACCTCCTGCCAGGCCTTATGTTTCACAACTTCACCACCTCCCAGTAGCATTGCCCTGGGAACCAAGACTTTACCACAGTGACCTTGGAAGAAAGGTCCAGATCCAGAGTGCTAAAATGCTGCTGTCAATCACCAGCAGTTACCGACTGACTCTTAACATGGGAGTTTTCTCTCTGGAGCAGGACTCAACATACCTCTCTTTCAGATGTTCCCTCCACCCACCCAAGGGGAGCAGTCCAATGCACACTCTGGGAATGCAGTAAACCCCACAGGACCATCTCGTCTCCACTCTGCCCCAGGTAACTGGAGATTGTTGTCAATGTCCAGTCCCTTGTGTCTCCAGCTGCAGGGGCCATATTTCAGGCTCCCTAGATTGGTCTTGAGGGAAGGAGGTATCAATTGCTCCAGTGTACTCATAAATGCAGTAATATCTCTCAAAAAGAATCCATTACCAATGGATTACCCCTCTCTTTACAATCTAATCCTCTCGGATAATCTTTTTGTTTGTGTTGTTTTGTTTCTGTCTTTTTGAGACAGAGTCTCCCAGGCTAGATCTCTCTAGCTATGTAGACTATATTGGTAAAGCCCAATCTACTGGTGAAGAATAATATACACAGATTACAGATCAAATTCTTTGGCTCTTGCACTTGGTAGGATTAAGAATATAGATAACAGCTGGGCATGGTGACACACGCCTTTGATCCCTGCACTCAGGAGGCAAAGCAGGCAGTCTCTGTGAGATTTAGATCAGCCTGTTCTACATAGTTCCAGACCAGCTGTGGCTACAGGGAGACCTGTCTCAATAAAACAAAACAGAGCAGAACAGACGAAAAAGCCCATTGGTGTGTGTGTGTGTGTGTGTGTGTGTGTGTGTGTGTGTGTGTGTGTGTGTGTACGCGCGCGCCACACAGACAACATGTGGGGGTGAGACACAGGAACCATTTGGAGGTCAGAGGAGCCAGCTCTAAGGATCCACCAGTTTCCACCTCCCGAAAAAACCCATGGGGGAGGGGGTGCACTCAGCTTTTTACCTGGGTTCTGGGGACCAAATTGAGGTTCTTGTGCTTACACAGCAAGCACTCTACCAACTGAGCCAAATGCCCAGTACCCTTATCCCGTTTAATACCATTTGAATGTTTTCTGTTTTGTTTTCTCTTTTTTCCCACCTTTAACTTAACTTCGCTGAATCAGAAGGAAATGAATTCGCAAATATCTTGCGCTTCCAACCTAGTCTAGTTCTGAATCTTTCCCTATAAGACCATTTTTCTGGCCAATGTAAGGCTTTTGTGGGGCAGAAAAGCAGTCCTCAGCATTTCCCATCACCGGGGAACCAAAAGCTCCCAGCTTGGGGATTGGGGGGTAAAGCAGCCAGAACTCACTTAAGCGGTCTCGCTCTTTGCACCTCCGGCCCATAGAGGGCGCCAGATCCCAGGCCCGAGGTTCTGCTTCCACCGCCGGCCGCTCCCGGTGTGCCTGGCTCGGCGCAGACGTTGGGGGCGGGACTGTCCTGTGCGCGGTGACTGGTGGCGGCACCGGCGGTAGTTGCCGGCGTAATAGCGTGGGTCGCGGGCTTCGAGAAGTTCCGAGGAGGCGGCGGTGGTGCCGGCGACGTGTGGGGCAGCAGTAGCGGGCCCGGGGCTTGTCGTTCATCATGCCGACGGTGGAGGAGCTGTACCGCAACTATGGCATCCTCGCCGATGCCACGGAGCAAGTGGGCCAGGTGCGTGCCCGCGGCCTGCAGGGCCGCCGCGCTGGGGCCGGCCCGGGACTGCTCCGGGGCTCCCGCCAAGCCGCCGGACGCGCTCCTCAGCCGCGGGCCGCCGACTCCGGCCTCCCCGGGAGCGCGCGGGGCCCGGGGCGGATGTGTCCGCGCTGCTCGGCCTCCCAGAGGAGCGATGCGCCTCCTCGCCCTCTGCGTCGCTCGGTAGCCGTCCTCTTCCCAGCGGACGCTCCTCAGTCCTGTGGAAAGTTTCCCCGAAGAGCTCCGAATCGTCGGTTGAGGGAGGCAAAAGTTGCATTGCTTGGGAAAGAGTGCTTAGGAGACTGGGGCTTGTGGGAAAACACGGGAAAGCCCCGCTCGCCCGGACTTTTATTATTACTGCTGTTGTTATTCACGGCGCGTTTTGATCGCCTGTCGCGCACCAGGCGCTGTGGCGGGCGCTGGAGGTGCAGCCAAAGATTCCTACTCTCCAGGGAGACTTAGTGATGACGAGTCAATGAGAGGCGTTTTGTGTGGTTTTTCAATGGAAGATTTTGTGAAGAAAGTGACGGGAGCATACAATGGGCCGTGGCGGGGAGGGGGATGCGGCTCCAAATCGAAGGTTCTGGGAACTGCTGTCTGTCTTGACCCCAGGCACAGGGTTTTGTTAGCGCTGTTGTATTGTCATACAAGCCTTGATTTTTTTTTGTGTGGGTTTTCAAGTCCTTGAGTACTTTGAACTTGAGTTAAGGTCCTGTGGGTGCCCTCTGGGGAAAAAGAACCTGACTGTCCTGCTGGCCGGGCTAGTTTTTTAGAAATCTACGTTTTCAGTACTTAGGTGATTTTTTTTCTGTGTGCACATGCCACAGCATAGAGAAAACTCACGGAGACTAATGACGTTAGCAAAGTGGTGGAGGAACCTTCCTGGCCCCTTTTTCTTGGGTGTGTATAATTCAGGTAGAATCTTCTTAAGCTTAAAGGGGAATGTGTGTGTGTGTGGGGGGGGGGGTTCCAGGCCTTGCTAAAGCTTAACCTATTGTGAATGTATCAACCTCAAGTATCAAGTGATTTCCCATCCTTCCATATCTGTAGGGAGCTTCTCTATTATCAGAAATGTGTAGGTGAGTGTTATAGACTCTATTAGGTCAGTTGTAAAGGAGGACTTTTTCTGCCTACTAAGACAACCTGGGAAAAACTACGTTTGGTCATAGTGGAATTCATGTCTTCTAAGGAGAATGGTAATGAAGGCAGCTCCAATCTGTATTGTTTTGTTGTTGTTTATAACTGAGTCAGGGACAAATGTAGCAGATTTTTTTACTGAAACTTAATTTTGTTGCACATCAGCAAGAAATAGGATGGGAACTAGTCAGGGATTCCCTACCCATTTGTGGAAGGCACTCTCCTAAAGAGATAGAGCAGGAATTTTCCAGGGGAAACTTAGAAACCACATCTGCTCTCTCATCCCCAACCCTGATTTCTATTGAAGTAGGGGGGAAAAATTGACAACGATGTATTTTTAAGAGTGCATTAGGGCAAATGGAAGCCAAACTTGAATTTGTATGTATGGGGAGGAACAGGTGTCCTTTATCTGAAGTGTCTGGAACCACATATATTTCCAATTTCGTGCTAATTTTTTTTTCAGATTTTGGAGTATTTGTATAGACTCCAAGGTTAAGCATCCACGATATAAAATACAAGCTGCTCAAATATGGAAACGTGTTTGAGTGCCATTGTGACCATACACAATGTGAAAGTGAAAAAGTGAGAGGATCTTGGATTGCCCTCCTATATTATCTTTCAGATATTTTTAACTTTATACATTGTGTGGTGTGTGAACTTTGTGTGGACTGGGTACACATGCACCTGGAGGCCAGAGGTTGACATCAGGTATCTTCCTCATTACCCATCTTATTTTTTTGAGACTGTCTCCCCAAACCTGGAGCTCACTGATGCTGCTAGACTAGCTGGCCAGCAAGCCCCAGGCATCCCCTGTCTCTACCACCTCAGTATTGGGATTACTTGTATGTGGATTCTGAGAATTGAACTCATACTCTGCTCCCATAGCAAGCACTTTACCTACCGAGTCTCCTCCCCAGCCCCTATGTTATTCTTAATGATAAAAGCCAAACTAAATTGAGAGTTCTTCCCAAGAGGTCAAAAATGTCTTTCTCAAGGCAAAACTCTGCTATTCAGGAAGAGTGCTTAAGAGACAGAAGTTTGAAAAGAAGAGGGGCCTATTTTCTTTTTAATTATTATTTGTATTTTAGTGTATTGCCTGCATTTGTGTAATTGCCCTTGGGGGTCAAAAGGGTGTTGGATTCCCCCTGGAACTGGAGTCACAGACGGCTAACCGCTATGTGGGTGCTGGGAATGGAACCTGGGTCCTCTGCAACAGCAGTCAGTGCTCTTAACTGTTAAGCCGTCTTTCCCAGCTCCCCCCCCCGGGGGGGGGGTATTTTTCTAGAACATAGGGAGGGACTGTAATTACAGGCATTCAGTACTTTTTGTGTGTATCTATATATCTTATATGCATGTGAGTACAGGTGCCTGAAGAAGCCGGAGACTTCAGATTCCCTGGAGCCAGAGTTTGAGGCATTGTGAGCCACCTGACAGTATGGGTCTTGAGAACTGAACTTGGGTCCTTTGCAAGAGCAGTACATGCTCCTAACTGCTGAGCCTCTCTCCAGCCCCTTGGTACATTTTTTTGAGCACCTACCTGGTACTAGGCACTGTTGAGCATTGGAACCAAGCATGATTACCTGTAGGTGATGGGTAAGCAACATCTTTATGACATTGATGACAGCTGTGAGCAGTTAAAAGACACAAATCTCTGTAAGCGGTGTAGTGACTTGTCCGACACAGTGAATTCTGGGGGTAGTACCTGGAGTTCTGCTCTACTGTTTATACTTCTAGAGAAGATACAAGATACTCACCAAAACCAGTGGGTCTCAGGTTGCTGTTGCAGTTTTAACTGAAGGCAAGAGCAAACTGAATGGAAGAACACGATCAGCCATTTGAAAGAGAGAAAACATTTTAGGTGCAGTTCAACCTGATTTTCATGTTGACTTCAGAAATTTACATACAGTCTATACTTGTTTCCTGGCAGGTAGCTATGTGGACACTTCTGAAGCTAGATTTGAGTTTGGCGGTTCTGAGTTGTCTTCTTCCATTTTGGGTTTCTGCCCTTGCTAGAGGAGTATCCCAGGTGCTTACGTCTCTGCCACTACAGGCACCCTTTCCTCACTTCCCTCAGTGTTTCTTTCCAGGCAGTGCTACCAAAATGTAAGGAAAAAACACAAGTCCTCTGAGGTCTTGTGTGGTCATAGGTATGTGTTTGTATGGGGAAGGGGTTCGTGCTCACATGGAGACCAGAGACCACCTGGGATGTCCTTGTTTTCTGAGACAGGGTCTCAAGGAGGCCTGGAGCTCAGTGAGTAGACTAGGATGACTGGCTATCCATCGAGCCCCAGGGATCTTCCTGGTTCCACCTCTCCAGTGCTGGGGTTATAAGCAGTGTCACCATGCCCAGCTTTCTCTGGGTTCTGGGGATTGGACTCAGATCTTTGTTGTGCTTGTGTGGCAAGCAGGTTCCTGACTGAGCTCTCAGCTATCTCCCCCAGGTTTTATTAGCTAATTTCCTTCAAGGATTAAATCCTTCTCTTTTTGAGCCTCCTTGGCACTGTGTATTTATTAGTAGTACTTGTGCATTTTGAATTTTCATGTGTGGACTTTTCTTATTCCCTTACTAAATTACAAGATCATGAGGGTAAGTATTAAATCCTTGCATTGTTCCGAGTCTGCCAGGAGACATTTCTTTTTTCTTTTTTTAATTGTTGCTGTTTGTTGGGGGGGGGGCCTTTTCATTTTTTTTCTTGTTGTTTAGGAAGGTTTTTTTTTTTCATTTTTCGTTTTTTGTTTTTTTTTTTTCATTTTGTTGTTTTGAGACAAGTAGCCTCAGCTGGCCTGAAGCTCACTATGCTGACCAGGCTGGCACTAAGATGCACCTGCCTCCTCTGCCTCCCTAGTGCTGGGATTAAAAGTATGCACCACCATGCCCAGCATTTCTTTCTTAACGTTGAAAAATGTGTGGAAGGGAGGAACATTTTTTAAAACACAAGGATTATGTCTGACAACTGAAGAAGAGAGCTTTGCTGTATAGACAGGAGAGCATGCATTTTAATAAGGAAGATCACATGTGATATATTCTGAATGAAGCATTGATACCTCAAAACTGTATTCTCTGTCACTTCCATGGTCCTCTTAGAACCTGCCTTCCCAACTTGGCTCCTCCTGCTCCTTCAGATTGCTGTCTTGGATGTGTGGTCCTTTACTACTTAACTGTCCTTTCCACTGCACTCTGCCTATAGTCCACACCTTGCTGTAATAGAACAGCATGTGGCCTGTCCTTACTTTAAATTTTTGACTTAATTTTTAAAAACTCAGGTACTTAACCAGATCTGGTAGTGTACTCCTGTAATCCTGGCACTCTGGAGGTAGAGGCAAGAGGATGAGGAACTCTGGGCTAGCCTAGGCTATTCAGTGAGTTTGAGGCCAGCCTAAGCTGCAAAGTGATGTTCTATCTTTTTTTTAAAAAAAAAGTTTTGTTTGGGCTGGACAGAGGGCTTAGCAGTTGAAGTTGCCTGCCACAGGCCTGACAGTATGAGTTCAATCCCTGGGACCTGGGACCTACATGGTAGAAGAGGAGAACTGGTTCCCACAGGTTGTCTTCTGACCTTCACAAGCATGCCGTGGTACATGTGCACCCACATACATCACACCCAAAATAAGCAAATGTAAAAAAAAAAAAGAAATTGTTTTTAAAAGAATTTATCAAAATCTTAAGAAAATACATCAAGAGCCTGGTAGTTGATCTGATCTGATGAGAGCTGTAGAAATCTGACATCAATTGCTACTTTTGGTTTCTAACCCTAAGTACACTGACTCCTCTGGGTAAAAGAACACTTGTTTTACTAACTTGTATTTCATGAAATACCATTCTTTTAGTGACTTTATTTTTGTGT